CCAGAAAGTGCTGATAGTATATATGAATTTGAATCGTTTAAGAACGAAATATCTGAAAATGAAATAGAAGAAAATAATGATGACTGAAAAGGACGTACAAATAATAAAGAAAGAAGAATATATAAACGAAGAATCTACAAAACAGAAGGTAATATTTGATATCAATATATTTGAACAAATAAAAAGAAAAGAATTAGATCTCAGTGTAGAAAAATATTTAAGATACCATTATAAGAAATATATTTAAAAGACAAAAAGAGGAATACTATGTAGTAAGTCAAAAAGAACATATAATAGATTGTAAATATACCAAAGGAAAAGCAAGAATACCTATAATAAATAAAAGGATAATAAATAAAGAAATACAAGAAATTAAAGCTAAAGAACCAATAAAATACGTACACTTAGGTGGAACAGAGATATTAATAAAAGCTTGTTTTAGAGAAGGAATAGATACACCAATAGAAATATATTTGGCAGATGACAGAATAGTAGAACCAATAGAAAGAAGTATAATAAGTGCAATAAAAGGAAATTTAATCTACCAGAAATTTAAGTTTATAATAAGTGCTAATTATTCAGTAGCAATAAACGATAGAAATATAGATAAATCATTAGTATTATATTGAAAAATGTCAGGATTAGAGTTAGCCCCAGGAAGTAAAATATTTACAGCTCGCTGTAAAAATCTATATGTATTAACAACAAAACATAAGATAATAGTAAAAAATAAGATAAATAAAATAAAATAGAAAATCCTTTTGAACAAATTGTTACAGTAATAGATAATAATGATTATAGTTACAAAGAAATAGACATAGAAAAAGATCTAGAAATAGTGAGTGATAGGATAAGTACATCAAAAAGAATAAAAAACATAGATAAAAATAATGACACGTCTCAACCCTCAAGAAAATCAGTAGAATATCAAAGAATAAAAGAAATTGAACCATATCACTACTATATAACTGGAATAATAGAGCAAAGAAAACATATCATCATAATAAATACTGAACAAGAAGAAAATTATATACCAAGAGAATTAGTATCGGAAGAAGAAATAACCTCTAAAGAACATATATGCCTAGAATTACCAAAAGAATTGTTACATATAGAAGAAACAACTCAAAAAGAAATAATCATAGGAGAGGTATAATAATATTAATAGACTTTAAAATATACCAAGGAGATAATATAACATTAGGAATAAAATGGTTAGAAGAAATGAAACCATATAACTTAGAAAATACACAATTAATAATAACTTATAAAAACAAAAATATCATAGTAAAAAGAGCAGTATGAAAATTTATATACTTGCAAAAATAATAGTAGAAAATTACTACAACAGATATTACACTCCAATGATAGATACAGGAGCAGAAGCAAACATGTGTAAACATAATTGTCTACCAGATGAAAAATGGGAGAAACTAAAAACGCCTATAGTTGTCACAGGATTTAATAATGAAGGAAGTATGATAACATACAAAGCAAAACATATAAAGTTACAAATATGAGATGAAATATTAACTGTAGAAGATATATATAGTTATGAATTTATAAATAAAGATATGCTTTTAGGAATGCCATTTCTAGAAAAACTATATCCCCATGTAATAACAAAAACACATTGGTGGTTTACCACACCATGTAAGCAAAAGATAGGAGCAAAAAGAGTAAATAATAAAAACAGAAAGCCTACACCATGGATTAAAGGAAGTGAAAAAATCACTCAAAAACTGGAAAATGTTAAGGAAAATACCCAAAATATAGAATTAATAATATTTTCAATAGATAAATTAAAATTAATTCAAGAAAAATTAGATATGTTATATAGCGAAGATCCCTTAAAAGGATGGGAAAACTATAAAAACAAAGGTAAGAATTGAATTGATTGATGAAAATAGTATAATAACCCAAAAACCATTGAAATATAATTTTGAGGATTTAAAAGAATTTAGAATGCATATAAAAGAATTATTAGAAAACAAATATATTCAAGAAAGCAATAGCAAACATACAAGTCCAACATTTATAGTAAATAAACACAGCGAACAGAAAAGAGGTAAAAGCCGTATGGTTATTGACTATAGAAATTTGAATGCAAAAACAAAAACATATAATTACCCCATACCTAACAAAGTATTAAAAGTAAGACAAATACAAGGATACAATTATTTTAGCAAATTTGATTGTAAATCAGGATTTTATCATTTAAAGTTAGAAGAAGAATCTAAAAAAATAACAGCATTTACAGTACCACAAGGATTCTATGAATGGAACGTACTACCTTTTGGATACAAGAATGCACCAGGAAGATACCAACATTTCATGGATAATTATTTTAACCAACTAGAAAATTGTATAGTATACATAGATGATATATTGTTATATTCACGAATAGAAGAAGATCATATACGATTATTAGAAAAATTTATACATATTATAACACACTCAGGAATAAGTTTAAGTAAGAAAAAAGCAGAAATAATGAAAAATCAGATAGAATTTTTAGGAATACAAATAGATAAGAATGATATAAAAATGCAAAACCACATAGTACAAAAAATAATAAATTCTGAAGAACAAATAGATACGAAAAAGAAATTACAATCATTTTTAGGATTGGTAAACCAGTTAAGAGAATATATACCTAATTTAGCAGAAAATCTAAAACCTTTGCACAAAAAATTAAAGAAAGACGTAGAATATTATTTTGATAAAAAAGATCAAGAACAAATACAAAAAATAAAATCATTATGTAAGAAGTTACCTAAATTGTATTTTCCAGATGAAAACAAAAAAATTATATACATAGTAGAATCAGATGCAAGCGAAATAAGTTATGGAGGAGTACTAAAATATAAATACGATAAAGAAAAAATAGAACATCATTGTAGATATTACTCAGGGACATTTACAAATCCCGAAATAAAATGGGAAATAAATAGGAAAGAATTATATGCACTATATAAATGTTTATTAGCTTTTGAACCATACATAGTATATAATAAGTTTATTGTAAGAACAGATAATACGCAAGTAAAATAGTGGATCACAAGGAAGATACAAGATTCGGTAACAACCAAAGAAATACGGAGACTAGTATTAAATATACAGAATTTTACATTTTCAATAGAAGTGATAAGTATTAACAAAAATGTCATTGCAGATTACATTTCAAGACAAAGCTACACAGACGGATCTAGACAACGAAAATACTATTGAAAAGATATTCAATGCTATGACATTGCTTTGTACAAAAGTATATAACCTAGATAAAGAGCTACAACAAATGAAAAGTCAGCAGCATGACTAAATATGCGGAGCTAAGTCGATCGGAAGACTTGAAAATTCCAGAGCTAGAAGGTGATGATGGGAAATACCAAAAAACCCAAACTAATAATTTGTTACATGCAACTACAGGAAGTACCTCTGCAACAAAGGAAGAAAACAAAAACAAATATGTCAATACAAATATGAACAAGATATTTGAAAAACCATTTATACCAAAAACCCAAAAAGAATTATTTATACCACCTCAGCTCAATACATATAAGGAAAGTCTAGGACAAAACAAAAAGACATATAATCATATAACCAGAGCCTATATAGAAAATATTCACAAAATACAAACCTTCTTAAACCTAAACCCCAGATCTAAAAATACGAAAAGCCCCAATGAAGATTATATTACCCAAAATCTACAAGGATATAACAAATTTATTGCACAACCAGGAACTAGTACCAACTTAGTAGGAACTTGCTATCACTATGGATTACTAAGTACCGTATATACCGTGACAGGAGACGAGATATCAACAATCCCAGAGCTACACAAAGCATTTATGCATTATAAAAGGATCACTAAAGGAACGCTATTTTATATAAAATTTTATTCAGCACCAGCAGAGATATTATATGATGAAATCAAACCTATTATATAAGTGATAAAGATTGGATTAACAAGAGAGATGATAATACCAGAAAAGATAGAGAAACAAGAAGAAATACAAAAGATAGAGATACCCGGATTTTATGCAAGGAAAAGAGTTATTGGAATAGCTACAATATTGAATGAATTATTAGTTGATAATTCAGTATGGAGTTATTACGCTAGAGAACAAACTATGATATATTCAAATTCTAGAGAAACAAGAGAAGCAGATATGGAAGAGATACGTCAGTGGATATTAAGTCTATTAAAACCAGAACAACAACCAACTACAAGAGCTATACGACAAAGATTTATTTCACCATAGATAATGGCAAATTATTGCAGAACTATTGGACACAAATACCCAGACCATCAATGCTCAAAATGTTATGGCGAAGATAATGTTATACTAGCTGTCAATCTAGAGTAAAGAAGGCCGACAAGATAAAAAATCAGCAAAGAAAAAGTTATTTGTCCTATTAAAAAAGTAAAGTTAGTGGAAGAATATAAAGTAATGTAAAGTAGTAAGTCACGTGTACATTGATAGAAGTTAGTGGAACTTTATGTAAAGTAGTGTAACTATAGTTTGTGTAAAGTAACTATAGTATAAATTAAAGTAACTATAGTAGAGTTACTTATATTTGTATATATAGTAGAGCCAGAAGGCAAGATAAGGTAAGACTTTCTCGACGGAAAGCAAGCCTCTTGTATTACAAAAATATTCTCAATAAAAATCTAAGTTTAAGTTGAAGCTATGGATCAAAACAGTGCTACTACACAGGTATATATATTCATGATTATGCATAGCTAAATCTATTAATTCCTAAATATCATAGTAATTCCTGTAAATTTCACCTGAGATTGACAATGCATTTTTGAAGTTTCAAGCTTTCTGTAAAAAAAAAAACATATATAGTGAAATGTCAGTAACTATATATACAATTCTCAAACCAAAAAGAAGAAAAAGAAAAAGAAATGTATCTATTTTTTGCAAAGTGAGTACCGGCATAAAGTGGTTCTTGTAGTACTCAACCATTTTCTCCTGTTCTAAGACTTTTGTTTACTTGTATCCGTCAAGCTTCTTCATTTCCTACGAGATGATTAGTTAAGCACAATTAAAATAGAACAATCTGATGCAGGAAGTATCCCACGTTCACTCTGTAGAATTCGAATAATACTGCACACAAAAGGGGTGTAATGTATGTAGTCTACCCTAACACAAATATTAGTGGTTGATTCCACGGTTTGAACCTGTTATATGTAAAATGTTATGTTGCTCAGACTCTTAAAAAATGTCAATGGGTGCATGAAAAGTGTAGAGCCTTGGCAACTCAAGACTTACTAGTAACACATAGACAACTTTATTATTGTTCCAAGGCTGCCCTTTCATTATAAAGCACATGAATTATACATGAAAAATTTACCAACCAGCTAGCCTTGAAGTTTACGCTATCACCAAAAGAAACAAAGGCAATTTTAACAAGCCTTAGTCTCTATGCTTTTCAAGTGCAAGTCATGGACCCTTTTCTATTGTGATGAACATTCTATGATACAACATCTAATACAACTAAATTAAGTTTAAGAATAATAAAATTTCATATATAATATAAAAATATTAATCATAATTTACACTCCATATCTAATTTAAGTCATACCTCAATCCATTTGGCTAGTTTAGGCCTCCCGGTTGTGATGTCATAGCTAAACCCCTCTGGCATGAAAATTTGGAACTTTTCGATAAATGGAGAATAGGTTATGTCAACCCAGCACAACATAGTTTTCATATCAGCACATACTCTCTATGAAGTTTGAAATTCTAGGATGAAAGTACACCCACACTACTCTGTACTGCTTGTCGAGTATGTTTTTCGGGCAAAGCTACCATCTCACATGACACATCATCGGAGAGGAAAAGAAAATGAAAGACAGTAATGACCTGACTGAATTGATTGAGGAAGAAAGGCCCATCGTCAAATTTGTGGAGAGATTTTTCTAGGTAATGAAATTGTGCACCTGGTACAAGTGTGAATACCATTAACTTACATTAGAAACATTTAACAAACAAAACATAATTAGTTTCAACGAACAGAAGCTGAAATTTCACCAGCTAGTGTCCGTGTATCTTTTGCAAACGAGCTGTATACTAATGGGACGAATGTAGTATCACTATAAGCTATTAATTCTTCAACAAATTCTCTTTTCGAGGTCTTGCATTAATTGGCCAATATTTTCTTTATATCAATTTACTGCTTAAGATTATCCTACACAGATAGGACAATCATAAAATTTTGCAGCTTACATCCGACAAGAGTAGTGGTCCTTCAAAGTTACTATCAACATATTTAATCAGATCCAAACTCTCTCCTGTCACTTTGTTGTTGTGCTCCAGGGATGGCACCTGTGAAGTGTAGAAAATATAAATAACCAGAAGCGTAAAATGAGATGCATGCTCTCCGAAGATTTAAACATTCACTTGCTTCATAGTCCTTATATAAAAGTGTATGCACTGGCTCAGTCAATAATCATTTAATTCAAAGAGGAAGAGAAATCCCTTTTCCAAAAATCCATGGACATTTTCTTCAGGAGTTCTCATACAATTTACAACGAGGCTAAATGCCTATGTCAAAATCTTAGCTCAAAATTTTCAAATACAAGTGAATTGGGCAAGCGAAAATGAATGTTGGTTTGGTGGAAAAATACCTTATTTATGGGGTAAACATTTTCCTTGTACCAATCAGGCTTGTTCTGAAGATAAATTTGAACTAATTTGATCTTGTCTTGCAAACCCTGCAATTCAAAATGTTAGAAAATTTATCTAGGCAAACAGGACCTTTGCCAGGTATAAGAACACACGAACTGAATAATTTCAACAAGGATAGAAATTACTTCCAAAATGAAATTAACAAAAGACATCAATAAAATCAACCATTTTAATTAGTAGCACTTCCTTTCTAAGGTGGATAGAAGTTTTGAACTATGAGTTCATCCAAACCGAATTTTTGGACATAGAATGTGAATATGTAAATCAAAGATTACCAAAATTTTAATGAATAATAAAATCCAAGAGCAGACCAAAGGCTTATATTTTGTTGTAGATAAGAGTTGTATACGATGAGTTTAAGTCATATATTTTATTCGCGAGAATTTCTTCTCTCCGATCGAGTAGCAAGCAGGCCCTTATAAAGGGTTCCAACCCTATCTGAAATCTAAGAAGTTGGTGCTTTTTATCAGTCGTTGCTCGCTAGCCTTTTCTCAACCTAGTAAAGGGGCTGCTTGATGTAGCGTGCAATGTACTAGTAAATAGGAGAAGAAAATTGAGAACTACTCCCTCTTTTTCATTTTACGTGGCAGTATTTGACTGGACATGAAATTTGAAAAAGAAAAAAGATTTTTTTTCACATATCAAAAGTATTTTTCGACTTTCGATCTTACACATGTCATGGCGTTTTTATAGCTATAAAGATATGCAATTTCGAGTAAATGGGTAAGTTCAAGGTTAAAAGAGTCTCCAAATATAGAAAGTTGTCCTTGTTTTAAGAATTAACTGCAAAGAGAAAAGCTAGATAAAGTAGAATAGAGGAAGTGGTATAAAGGCGAACCTTAATATTCCTGGTAATCCACACACGCATAGAATAGGGGAACTGATAATTGATATACAACCTTCAGACAACACAATGGAGTCTGATCACAATCTTCGGTCAGAGAAATAAAATCGTAATGATGACAAAGAACACATTATTCATAAGGTAGAAAAAAACATATTTTCTTAAGGCAGATAAGAAAGAAATTAAGAGAAATTTTTTAATTAAACCTGGTAGTTCCATCGAAGAGAGATGGGGGTTGGGAAGTAGAATCCAGAGATGGTGGTAGAACTTCTTGTACACTTGTGTGCAAATAAAAGAATAACCCCATCAACATCCATATCAAAAGCAAACTAAAATAAATCAATTTACATACAACATACATATACAACCATTACTTAATTCAAAATTTAAAATCAATGGTCTTGTTGTATCACATACACTCACACTCACACACAAACCCCAAACCCCACCTCCTGCTTCATCATCTTTTTTTTTTAATGGCAAATCAACTAGTTCCATGAGATACATCCCACCACCACCACCACTAACAAGGTAACACTTCATATTCTTCTTTTCATAGAAAAGGTACTCAACACAAATATCCTATGGATAAAGAAATTAACTTTGTAGCTAACTCAAACACTCAGAAGACCATTCATTCACAAATCACTCAAAATTAAAGATGGACATCTAAAACATGGGCAATTTCATATGGCATCCAATATAAGGACTTGTTCACTAATTATGAAGGTTCACCAAGACCTCTTTCCTCTCCCTTCTCTCCTAACTCGTAGGGGTCGTACCCCTACAAAGGGAATTTTATATGGCAACCACTATCTATTGTTGCACTTATCTTATATCTTGATTTTTTGTTGTTTTATTTTTCATAAAATCTTGCTTTAGATACTTCTCTTTTGAGTCTAGAGTCTATAGGAAAGAGCCCTCGCTACCCTACCTAACATTTCAAACAACAAATGGACCTCGAACTTAACTCAATCTCTTAATCGGTACCTCCATAAATGATTACAATTAATTACAAACCATTTTGAAAAAAATTAAACACATTTGATGAACAATTAACAAAAAATTAAGCAAATGAAGACTTACGGGGAAGCCATTGATGCTGATTTTTTCTGCAATGGAAGAGGAATCAGAAGATTCTGGATATGTGAAGCGATGAAAATAAGAATTTTGGGAGCTTTTATAGGAAGGAGTACGAGTTGTGTGAGCAGCATATATAGTGACGAAGTGAAGGGCTCATTTGCTATTAAATACTATTCAATGTCTAATACATTTTCCAAAGCATTACATTGAATATATTCAAAGGACACTATTGTAATTACCCCTATTATTTATTATTTCTAAAGGTGTGTGTCAAATCGATAGTAGACAACTATTGTTAACCAATGGGAGTATTTCGTAATTTTAATTTTTATCCTTAATAAATATAAGACAAATTCATCCTAAAATTTGTCTCAAAATTTATCATTTCTTATAATTCATACCAAACTTACCAAACAATAAACTGAATCAATTTTTCCGTCAGTTTGAAAGCTGACCAATTTTTGCATATTTTCTGTAGGGCATTTTTGGTAATTATATGGATTTTTTTAAAGTTTACTATTTTAGTTAAATTAAATTATTCTATTTAGAAATTCTTTAAATAAAAACAAAAAATGCTCGTGATCAGTACTTAAAGGACAAATAAATAAATCTACTTTCACAAAATAATCAATAATTTTGGCTATCAATTGACAGAATTACGAGAAAATGAAGGAAATTTTTAATGTATGTGTAAGGTCCATAGTAGAAAAATGGAAATAAACTTCATCGACCACGTGCAATTTATGAATTCCATACAGTAGTACCACATGCAATTTATGAATTACATACAATTAGTTGTCTATTTATTTTCATTCAAAAGAGCAACATTTTTTTTTAATAATTAATAAGAATATGAACAGTTGAATGATGCATATTGTAACACCTCAGGAACCTAGCAGATTGAACAATAGAAAATTGGGTGAACAACGGAGGGGTTCACAAATCATGAATGGGACCACGGTCCGTCGACCTGCTCGTGATTCACAGCAAGCCAGCGTGGTGGACCATTGTGACCACCCTGGGCCTTGGTCCCACTGACGAGCCGTGGATTGGCCGGTCAAGTCAAGCCAGCAGACCCCCTAGCCCAGGTGATGAACTACGGTCTGTGGTCCTTCACACGGTCTGTGAAGTGGACCGTAGATGAGAGTACTCAGAACCAATAAGAATGGGCCAGAAACCACAACCCACTCCACGGACCGTGGTTCCATCAACGGTCAATCAGTGGCTCCATGGGTGGGCCTTATCAGCTTTTAAGTCAAGGTCATTTAGGCCTTTCCCCCTATGCATTGGGCCTCTAAACTACGTCGTTTAACACCTAAACTACATCATTTTATTATGTCTAAGCCTAATAATCTAGTCAGAACCTACTCAAAACTTTCATTCTCCAAAAATCATCCAAGTTAGATCTAAAAGAGGAGAAAGAGGCGACAATTTCTTTCAAGAACAAGCAGCACTGTTCTTCAAGCTTTAACCCCGAAATACAAAAGATTTCTCCATAGTTTTCATCACCAGGTATGTGGGATTTCACTAGCGTGTATCTTTCATTCACTAGGTCTCTAGAATTCAGTCAGTTCTTTGATTCTACATAGCTTGTTTAGACCTAGGGTTTCTTAAACCATGGAGATTTGTCGTGATTTAGCTGTTATAGTATTCTTAATCGAAATATAATCTTTTCTTGGGAAGGTTGTTTAATTCCTTGTATAAAACTCAGAACCCTAGTTTGTGTAGATTTCCTTAGTTGATGAATTACACTTGCTAAGTCAGTTAAGTAGATAATTATGGTCTAGATTTCGAATGTCACATTATCAGCATATAAATGTTGCATTCTCAGATTGCATGTCAGTATTTTGAGCTATTCAGTATTTCAGATACATTTTAGTCATATACATATTCAGTTGGGACTAAACCTAGCCCTGAGTTGGACTAGGGTTTAGCATACCGTCATAGTCCTAGAACTATGTGCCCCCGTAGGAGTATAAGTCTCCTCTGTTGGGCATCAAATTTAGTGATCACGCCAGTCATGCCTTTATACCCCTACCAAGGTATATTGGGTCCTCTCGATGGGGCGTATACATTGGACTCCACGTTTAGCTCATATGGTTTATGTCGGTTAATATTAGCTCCCATAGTCAGACTCTTTAGGCATTTGAACAGGTTTTCAGGATATACTTCAACATTCAGTTCAACATGTTATTTTCATGATTAGTACTTGGTCATTGCATTCAGTTTAGCTTTTCAGTTATGTTTTTGTACTTACATTCTTGCTTAGTTTACTTCAGTGCTCAGTTATGCTTTGTTAAGCTTATATATATTTGTTCAACTTAATATATATAGCCTGCATGGGCAGTACATTCCAAGTACTGATGCATACTTTGCACTACATCCTTTTATGATGTAGATTTAGGAACTCAGCATCCATATCATGCTTATATTGATTCTCGGTCCGCATTCAACAACTTCAGTGGCGAGTCCTTATATTCCGAGGACAATTGACAAGCTTTCATTTTAGTCTTCGTTTTCAATTTTCAATTTTTTTTAGAGTTTGTTGGGGGAATGTCCCAGCAACTCAATTCATTTAGAGGATTTTCAAACATATTAGTAGATTTAGCTTGAGTTGTTAAGTGGTGTTTTAGTCATCACTAGACTTTCATTATATTTTATATATTCAGACTAGCTGGGTTTCTCCTCACTTTTAGTTGTCCATTGTTTTATATTCCACATAGTACATGTCTTATTTAGTTTTTCCATGTATGCTTGATATATGCTAGACACAGGTTTAACCTAGGGTCACTCGTGAATCTAGGTCTGTCTTACGTCAACGAAGTAGCCTCGGGGCGCGACAAACTTTGTGTTAGAGCTAGGTTCAAGAGTCCTAAGATATCTGAAAGCCACACTAAGTAGAGTTTCTTTCATCGGTGTGAAGCACACCACATCTATGAGGGGGAGGCTATGAAGTGTTTTATAAAAAAATTTCACTTCCTTTGCTATTCTTATCGTGTGTGAGGTATGATTCAACTTCTCTTTTATAATCCATCATTATGCGTTTCAGATTATGCCTCCTTGTAGTGCCAACACACGGAATGCTGATGCACGCAATGCTAATGCAGTTCCTCTAGTCGAAACCATGAGGTTACGAATGTAGAATTTCGGTATGCGATCCAACTCTTGGCTCAGAGTGTGGCCAATTAGAACAATCAATAGGCCACAGTTCCTGCAAACACTAATGGTGGATCAACTGCAGCTTGGGTTCGAGACTTTGTTCTGCTAAATCTGCCATAGTTTCTAGGGTCGAAGGTTGGTGAGGACCCACAAAACTTCATTGATGAAGTCAAAAAGATCCTAGAGGTGATGCAGGTAACTGGAAATGATAGAATTGAGCTGGCATCCTACCAACTTAAGGATGTGGCTCATATTTGGTTCACTTAGTGGAAAGATAACAAGGGTGCAGATGCAGTTTCTGTGACCTCCGATGGTTTTACTATAGCTTTTCTGGATAAGTTCTTCCCAAGAGAGTTGAGAGAAACTTAGGTGCAAGAGTTTATGAACTTGAAGCAGGGTTCAATGTCGGTCTAAGAGTACGGGCTGAAGTTTATTTAACTCTCCAAGTATGCTCCACACATGGTTGCCGATCCAAGGGAACAAATGAGTAAGTTCTTGTTTGGGGTAACCGATTTGGTGAAGACCGAGTGCATGAATGCGATGTTGTTAGGGGTTATGGATATCTCTAGACTAATGACTCATGCTCAGGAGATTGAGGGAGATAAGCTTAGAGAATTGGCTAAGGATAACAAAAAGGCCAGAATAGGAAATTATGAATACTCAGAACAAAAGTCGGACAGTGGAAATCGCTCACAATTTCAGTAGAGGTCTACAACCCCAACACATTCATCAGCTACTACTCCATCCCCCAGGTTTTGACAGGATCAAAAATGGAGGGGATC